TGCTCATAGGAAAGCATGTTAACCCAAGAAATAGATATTTGTAATATGTAATATTAATTGTTACATGCGAAATGTTACAGCAAATTAAAACAACAGCTATGCTATAGCTTTTTAAAAACACTCATTAATATTATTAATATTCATTAAATGTTATATTAATGCAAATGTGCTTATTCAAAGCTGCTTTCTCGTATTCCAAAATGATTTATACAATATTTTTTTATTCTACTTTATTTATAAATAAAATCATCAAGGTGGCCACAGATAATTAAAACGAGTTATATAGTTCTTTAATGAATATTTATTAATATTATTAATATTCATTAGATGTTATATAAAAACAAAGGCGTATTAGTTTCTCCCTTATATGAAAAATGATTTAGAATATAATTTTATTATATTTTAATTAGAAAATGTGAAGCATGTTGACCATAGTTAATTGAAACAACATTTATATAACTTTAAAAATAGTATTTATTATAAAATGAGCATTTAAAAAAGCTAAACGTATAAATAAGATAAATGCAAATTATTTACAAAATATTTACAAATTATTTGCTTATTTACATTTTTTTAAAATATTTTTTTAACTAGTCCAGCTTAAATATCAGTGATAAGAAGTGAGTCAGCTCATTTGATTCAGCTCAACAATAAGAGTCGACTCTTTTGGCTTCCAAAAATGGATTACTACTATTTTCTACTAATCCGAGCAAAGTTTGCGATATTTTCGGCAGAGAAAATGGGTTTTTCAGATAAAAGATGACATACAGGGCGTAGGTCATACGTTTCAGCAGAAGAAGACACTCTGAACAGAGGAAGAAACGAAAGTTTTATTTGATTTAATTAACGAAAGCATCAAACGACACCGCGATTCAATCGCTCACTGAAGATGAATCAGTTCACGCTAATGAGCATCTTAGACGTTAAAAAGAGGTTTCCATGCAGGTATTGTGCTTAAAGTACACTACAGGAGGAACGGAAATGCCTACATCTACAAGTAAAAGAAGAGGAAAATAAAAAACCTGCTCATATCAACGAGTCGACTCTTAAGAGCCGACTCCTTCGCAAACAACACATCATTGATTCAAATCAACGGCAAGACGACCGTTAAAAATTTGAAGAGCAGCTCGTCAGAAGGCTTCAAGTGAGGTAAGTTGATCAGATGTTAAAGTGATAAAATACCATTTTTTCGTGATATTTATTAATCAGTTAATAATTCTAAAGTGATTACTAACGTTATGATAACGTAATGATAATGCTGATGATAATACTGCTTAATATAATAAAGAATACAACCAACAAATTCCAGGCAACTTGAGCTTGAGTAAATTAGCTATGTAGCTAAACCTTGAAACAAAATGGCTGCCGTGCTAATTCATCTCAGTGTAGCCTAGCTAACCACATTTAAATTCTAATTAATCTCAGTATACGTGGTTTAATAATGTTCTGTTATTATTTAAAAATTTAAAAACAGAAATGAAGGGAACGCAGTGTTCCCATGACTTTTACATTATCTTTGAGTCGTCGGCGACCGCTAGCTACTTTCTCACCTGTATTTGCTGTAAGTTAATTTATCTTGCTAATATTAGACAACTGGTACTGTATTTGACTTTTATAAGCGCTTTATAAAGCACCTTTATTATATTAGATCGCTTCTATTCCAGTATTTATGACTTGTATTTCATTATAAAATGAAATAGAGCGAGGCTTCGAGGAAAAACAAGCCCCAAAAAAAAAGAAGGAAATGCATTTTAATTGGTATTTTGACCAAGTCAGCAGTAAGGTTACCATCTGATCATACACATGACCAAAGGTGAAGCTGTGACACTGTAACATCTCCAGTCCTGAGTATCAGGATTATATCTAGATACAGGTTTGCCAAATATTTTCGATCCCTTTCAATGGCGAAACAGGAAAACTACGCGTTTCTGCTTTTCCAGATGAAGCATTGTTCTCAGAACAAACGCGAATAAAGTTCAGCCCATGAAAAAGCCCACTGAAAGGGAAAGGGTGTGGTGTGTTTCTGGTAGCCGTTATGTTCTCTTCACAAATGAAAGTGTCTGCAGGTACACAATCAAGGTGAGTCACAACCCAGTGAAGCACATTACTTTTATACATGAACCACTCAGCAAGTTAAAACGTTTGATTTGTGAAAGTGAATAAGTAGAATTTGAATAAGATTTTTAAAAATAATTCTATATAAATACAAATGATTTAAAGCTGCTCTCATATTCAGAAATAATTCAGAACATATTTGTGTGGCCATAGGTAATTAAAACAAAATGTACATTCCCCTCCGAAAGTATTGGAACAGCAAGGCCAATTCTTTTGTTTTTGTTATACACTGAAGACATTTGGGTTTGCGATCAAAAGATGAATATGAGAAGATGGATCAGAATTTCAGCTGATCTTCAGATATTTACATCTAGATGTGTTAAACAACTTAGAACATGGCAGCTTTGGTGGCAGACCACCCAAGTTTTAGGTGAGCAAAAGTATTGGAACAGATAACTAATGAACTGCACCACTTCTGAATTCAATAAAGAATCATCACCATGACACTACCTTCACTGTGCTTGACCAATGAGCTCGTTTGTTTGGGATCAGGAGCAGATTCTTTCTTAATCCACACTTTGGACTTTCCATCACTTTGGTAGAGGTTAATTTTGGTTCCAGAACGTTTGTGTCTCATCTCTGTTTTCTTTGCAAATTTCAATCTGACCTTCTGGTTCTTACTGTTGGTGAGAGGTTTGCATCTTGTGTTATGGCCTCTATATTTCTGCTCTCAAAGTCTTCTTCGAATGCTGGATTGTGATTGTGGATTGTGTTGCTGATGTCCCTGACTTTTGTTCTTGGGTTTTTCTTCACAGCTCCCACAATGTTTCTGTCATCAACTGCTGTTGTTTTCCTTGGCCGACCTGTTTGATGTCTGGTTGTTAGTGCACCAGTGGTTTCTTTCTTTTTTTCAGGACATTCCAAATTGTTGTGTTGGCTATGTCCAATGCTTGTGCAATGGCTCTGATCGATTTTCCTTCTCATCTCAGCTTCAAAATGGCTTGTTTTTCACCCATAGATGGCTCTCTGGTCTTCATGTTGGTTTATCCTTTTTAACAACAAATGCAGTCTTCACAGGCGAAACCTAGGGCTCAAACCAAGCGTAGACATTCAGAGCTATTAATTGTTTAAACAATCTAACAGCGCACACTGGGTGACAAGAAACACCTGTCAGTCATATGTTCCGTTATTTTTGTTGTGAGGATGCAGAAACGGCAATTATGTCCAGGAAAATTGTTTCATACAAAAATTTAATGTAACTTTTACACGTTTTGAACATTCCAATTTGATGTTCAAATTGCATAACATTTATTATAATTATAACCAGGAAAAATAAGTTTATGAAGTATAAGAAACAATTACTGTGTATATGTACCCAATGCTAAATATAATTAGCTTTGATATTTGGATTGTGACTTCCACCACTGTAACTAGATAAAAAAACAAAAAGAAACCACAGGCCCCGTGCCAGTGCTTCACATTTCCCTTACACACATTTGTACTTGTGTTAGGGTAGGGGTGTCAAACCTATGGCCCATGGGCCAGGACTCGCAGGATGAAGGTTGTGATGCCGCCCACCATATGAAATTAGAAAACGTCCTAAATTTAATTTGTTTTTTGGAATTGAAAGATTTGAGAAAAAAAGGTATTCTCTGTTGGTCCACTAGGGGGTAGAGTAGAACAATAAACTCAAGCAAAAATCTCAAGGCCTGAGAGCAACTACTGTACTGACAAGATAATGGTAATGATATAGAATTGTATTCCACAAGGTTCTGGTCCATGTTAACGTGACTGAATCATATAATTACCGCAGATTTGTCAGCCGCACATTCATGCTGTGAATCTTCCATTCTACCACATCCCAAAGGTGCTGTACTAGATTGAGTTCTGGTGACTGGTGTGGCTTCTGAAGTACACTGATCTCATCGTCATATTCATGGATCCTGTTCGAGACAACTTCTGCTTTGTCACAGGACACATGATCATGCTGGATGTAGCCATTATAAGATGGGTGAATTGTGGCCATAAAGAGATGCACGTGGTCAGCAGCAATACTCAGAAGGACTGATGCACAATAAGGCATTAAGGGGCCCAGTGTGTACCAAGAAAACATTCTCCACCCCGTTATACCACCACCAGAAGCCTGAAATGTTGACACGAGGCAGGTTGGATTCATAGATTCATGCTGCTGACGCCAAATTCTGACCTTGCCATCTGCATGTTGCAGCAGAAAACAAGGTTCTTCAGACCAGGCAGCATTTTTTCAGTCTTCATCTCTGTCCACTGTAGAGTCAGATTTCTGTATTCGGCTGACAGATGTGGAACCTGATGTGGTCTTCTGCTGTCGTAGCTCACCCACCTCCAAGTTTGACATGTTCAGCATTCTGAGGTGCTTTTCTGCTTACCATGGTTGTAAAGAGTAGTTATTTGAGTTCCCGTAACCTTCCCGTATGGCCATTCTCCACTGACCTATCTCATCAACAAGGTGTTTCCACCCACAAATCTGATGCTCACTGTAGAGACTGTTGTGTGTGAAAATCTAAGATGATCAGCAGTATCTGAAATACTCAAACCAGACCATCTGGCACCAACAACCATTCCACGGTCAAAGTCAGTAAGATCACATTTTTTACCCATTCTGATGTTTTATATTAACATTAAATGAAGCTCTTGACCTTTATTTGCATGATTTTATGCATTGCGCTGCTCCCACATGATGGCTTCTAAGATAAATGCATAATCGGGCGGGTATACAGGTTCCTAATATAGTAGATAGTAAATTTTATATTCAGTCCCCTCTTTTACAAAACTCTGCCTCGTATTTTACTGAGCATTCAGACTGCGCTTTCATACTTAATTTATGTACGATCAGGTGTGTTTTTTTTTTTTTGTGGTGGTGGTTGTTTTAAAAGACAACATTCTACATCATCTCTTTCTCTGTGTGGGACTTCGTGGCTTTGTGGTAAAAGCCTTGCCTTGCAATGCAGAGGTTGCTGGTTCAAATCTGGCTTGTGTCTCTCCCACACACACTGGAGATTGGGTGGTGAAGCAGATGATTGAGACAAAGTGGTGGCTAAAGTGCATGGTGTTTGAGGACCCTGAAAAAAGTGTGGGTGATAGGTGTTTTTACAGCCTATATGCAAAACTAAGTCAGCACTCTCTCTTTAAGCTCTATAACCCCTTCTGTTCATCTTTCCACACCCTGGGGGGCAGATGCCCGGAACCCACCCCCCCATCTCAACTCAGGGTCACACCATCCTGCACCTTCCACAGCACACCTGCACTTTGTGCCCAAGTCACCTGTTACTGAACCTTCCACGCTCATATCCTGGAGACTTGGCTGGGGTTTGAACCAGCAACCTCTTAACCCGGAGGTGAAGCTCAGCCAATTGAGCCACAGAATCTCTTACTAGCAGGTTGATTTATAGTAATTTATAGTAATTTTCACTTTTGTCTACGTAAGCCAGACCGCAAGCAAAAGTGCAGATTTGACCCGAGGGCCTCAAGTATCCAAGAGCATGCATCTATCCACTGCACCACCAGAGAGTAGGTGATGCTGTTGCTTATTGGTATAGCTATGGGAACTTATATTACTCATACAGCACTAGAGAACTTATAATGTGGGATAATATGTTGACATTCAGACCTTCTACATTCATATCCTGGAGCTTTTAACCTTCTAACCCAAAGATAACGCCCGTCCAATCAAGCCACAGAGTCTCATCTCATACATATATATATATATATATATATATATATATATATATATATATATATATATATATGACATTTTTTATATTCTTAGCGCCACTGAAGCACAGGGAAAGGTTGGGTGTAATAAACGGCTTTCATCCAAATAAGTCAGCGATTCAACTGTTAAAAAATTAAATATTATTCGCATTTGTTTATTTGTACTTGAACTAAGGTAACTACTGTAGCTTGCTGATGCACTTAATTTAAAATCAACTAGCTAACTTATAAAGAAGGAGACTAGTAGTGTTTGTGCATGAATTAGTACATATGCACTTTTCATGACCACTATTTCAACTGGGCAAACATAATGATTAATACTCAGCAGGTTACTCATTTAAAAAAAATATTTTCAGTTGCATTGTGTGGTTCGTTTAAAATGTTTCATTTCACTGTGCTACCCACGAGGCACCACTAGCCGGCGACTATGTACTGTACATCAGCACCGCAGTCTGAAACACCTGTGAAAGATTGCTTCACTGTTTCTTTCAAAACTTTCAACATGAAATGAGTAAGCAGACAGGACTTATAATATTGCATAATAGAAACCCTCTTTACAAAAAAATACAGGACAAGTCCAATAAACATTTTACTCAAACTTTATTATGTAAAAGGAGGAAAAAGGTGAGGAAATGAGGCAAGACATAATAGCAGATGTAGACTGATTAAAGCACAGTAGAAATTCAGAAGAAAGGAGCCTGAGTAAATCGCTTCTATCATCCAACATCACATTAAACAGAAATCAAGAAGAGAGGCTTTGAACGCCACAGTAATTTCTCAAGAGATTTTAAGTGTTCCCACTTATTATTAAAGCTTATTATTAAAGCCCAAAAACAAGCCAGTCAGGACATGAAGAACACGAAGAAGTCATTTTGATGCAGGTAAGTGTAACAGAGGGAAAGAATGGAAGAAAGAATAAGAGAAAAAAAGGAGTGGTCTGGAAAAGAGACTGAAAAGAATAGAGAAGGTAAGAAAGGAGTTGAGGCGAAGCTACATTGGCCAGCTCTAAAGACCATTATAGCATCATTAATTGGAATATTTATGACATTTGGAATTCAAATTTCCCAACATTGCGTTAATCTGTTTTAATGGGAAGATTTCACAGTTTCATTTTGGAATATTTGTTATACTTTCTTAAATAGAGTTGAGCTTGTGTAGTTTTTGATAACAATGGCACTCCTGGAATTTTGTTAGTTTAATATGCACATGGAATCCATGTTAAATATCGTGACTTTCAAAGTATCATACTTTGATTTACCATCACATCATATCGACCATCCCTAGTGCCTTGTTTCTCCCTCCATGAATGATTCAGGTCAGTCAGGTCAGCAATGCTTTACTGGCACAACTTATACAAATATTTTATTACACACACACTTTGTATAAACAGCAGCAAGACAAAGCCATTCATCATCATCATCATCATCATCATTTCTTTGTCTCTGTGGCTGAGGTGTTGCGGAATTGGCATCATCCCCTCTGTGAGTGCCAGAAAGGCAGCTGTGAAATATACTGTATGTGTCACAAGTCATGCTCCCACTGTATGACATCAGTGTCATAAACTATTCAGAATAAAGAGAGAGAAAGTACACGGTAGAGATGAAGACAGACAGAAAGTGAGTGTTAAAAAGCGAGACGAAGAGAGAGAGACAGCGGTCAGAGAGCCAAATTTAGAGTTAGGTCCTGCTCTAAAACATCAGGTTGAGGCTCATGAAGGTGCTCAGCTGATGGTGGAGAACGGAATGAGATGAGGGACAGTTTTAACACACATACATACTGCTGAAGGTTCTTCCTCAAGCACCAAAGCGAGAGGTGATAATTTTCATTAGATATGACACTGTAAGATGACAAATCCAGACGATTGGCTCGAATGATGGCACACGAGACCCGACGCTCTTCAGTTCCTCAACTTTAGTTCCTACCTGCAATTAGTTCCCATTTACTGTTTGACACTCAAAAATGAAAGAAAAACTTTCAGGTTTCTTCTTATACGGTCATAGAAGACCTCTTTATAATGTCTCTACACATTTAATAAGAAAGTTAAAGCTTAGAAGGAAGTAGCAGGGATTGTTGGTGCTTCTAGTTACTGTATAAAGATAGTACATTTAGCATGCTTTGCTAATATGCTAGTGACGTTAGTTAAAAAGCTTAGCATGTAATGTAAATAAAATAAATACATTTTAAACAAAAGTAGTGGGAGTTGCTGCATGCCAACAAGAGACTTTGGAAATTTGTGACTAGCATGAAGGCAGTTCAGGGGATGAGAAGACCTTGGGTCCTTTCTTTGTATTTCTTTGTATGAAAACTCATCGGTTTTTTTTATTTTTTTGTTGACTACACTAAAAAAAAACCAGAATATCTCCATGTTCCTAGCAAACTAACAGCACAAACACAAAAATCTGATTCTATCACTTGAAATTTGTAATGTGGACATTTAGTGTAAAAATTGGATTTAAGTAGGAAATTAGATTTGCCCTGCAGGATATGAACATTTTGTTTCGTTATGGTAGCCAACATTCTGAACAGCCGCACAAAAATGATGTTCAGAGCTTTAACAGGAAATGTACTATAAAAAGATTAGTTTCTGTTGCACAGAGTCATGGTCGTTGGAATTTTCACCACCCAAATAGCAGGATATTTCTTCTCTCTTGAACTACTGAGCATTGTCAGGATTCAAAGTTGTGATTTCCTGACAATTCACTGAACATACAAATTGCTCTAATACCTATCTGTTTTGCACAAATTGTTTGTCTGGAACTTTGTTTATTGATGACCTTTAGCTACAATGAAAGCAAATACTATCAAGGGTATTAGCTGGCAATATGAAAATCCTGCATGTAATGATGACCTTCTGATCTAGGGCGATCTAGGACAATGAAGGCCCTAAACTACTTTGCCTCAAAATGATAAAATCACAGCAGTGACGCATCATACTGATCCACTGTTTCAAGCTAATTTCAGTACAATTACTCAGCAGCAGACATGTTTCATGTAAATGAAATGTTAGATGAATCATAGAGAAATAAATAATTACAAATTTATCCAGTATCATAAATCAGTCAGAATGAGGTCATTGCAAGAGCTCTTTATTTTGGTCTCTTGGATTTTAATGGCTACTGAAATCTCTGTTGACTATAGTGATTGTAAAAAACAGCAGGAACAGTGACAGGGTCTTCTAGTGTTTGTTTTTTTGTTTGTTTGTTTTTTTTTAAAAAGGATTGTAAACAATCAGAAGTTTGGGTCTGTACGTATACACACCTCCACACCTGCAAACAAACAAGGCTGAAATAATCTCTGCGAGGCTTTTCAAGGTCCTTACACTCCAGAGTTCAGCATTTTCCTTGCTCTAAGTTAAAATGCACTGAGTTGAATTGAGTTAAAGGTACTAGAACAAAGAATACACCAAACTGGGGAGTTTCAAATCTGTCTGGTCTGCTTGGCTTGGCTCACAAATCTTTTTGCTCTTATCGCACCACTACTCCCTGGATGAAGAATAGTGGAGGCTGTACAGGATAAGGAATTAAATGTTCTAAAGGATCGCATTGGGAGTCACAGTGTTGGACATGGCACGACAGGAGGCTAAATCATAGGCTGTGTTCCATTCACACTTTTGCTCACTTCTGGCTTCTTTCTTCAGGGATATCCTTTTTTTGCTTAGACTGCATTTTTGAGAGTTGTGGAATGTATTAAGAATGCACCAATCCCCATTTTGTAATTTGCTGAGTTCCAGATATCGGCTAATAACAGAGCTGCCAATATTGCTAACAAGAAGTCCTAACAGGCAGAGAGAAAAAAATTTACCACAAAAGCACATATTGGTGAATGAGACAGCTTTTTTTCCTCCCCAGATGTGCACCAAGAAAACAGTGAGGTAAATGTCCAGTGTGAGTACAACTCAGTAATAAGCAGCTCATCCATTTTAAAAAAAATTGAAAGTAGCCAGAAGCAAATGCTCATCTTTCACATCTTCGGGCTTTCCCTGTCAGTGAATTGCTTCTCTACCATGAAATTAAATGTTATTGGTCTGAATGCTGTTATGTGTGAATTATACATGTTTGGTCCGAATGCTGTTTCACCAGAAAAAGCAGAAGTGTGTAGTTCTCATTTGTCTCCCATGTCGCTGTAGCAAGAAGTCAAAAATCATAAATGCTAAACGGCTAAGCTGCAGATGTTGGAGATCTGCAGTAATAGCTGACAGTGGTAGAATTGGAGCGACATGCTCAGTACAGTAAACACTGTACAATTGAACTAGTAACTATGGCTTGAT